AATAAAAAAAACGATCAATGGTCCGATTTTATTCGATGTGCACCCTCCCTGTAAAAGTTCTGGTTACGGCCCTGATATCAACTTAGTACTATGTAGGTTTTCCCTTCAATGCACACTAACTGTGAAGGGGACTTTTCAGTAATGAAATATGTTTCAAGTATTTAATGTTTGATACAACTAATTCTTTAGTTTAGTTGATTATTTTTGAGATATTACTTTTATTAGGGGTGAATCTTGGGATTCTAAGGTTCATGGGGTGTCGGCAAAACTCCCTAAAATGAAAATAGAATCTCAGCGAAATTATACATCTGAGCTGACTGCAAGGTAATTGTGAGAATAGGAATAAAACACACATCTGTTATAGTAAAAAACTTCGTGTGTAAGAGTGTCTTCAGGAAAAACTTTAAAAGAACGGTTGTTGGTTGTAGAAGTGAATTGAGGGTTTGGCTACCTACCTGTGTTAGTTTTTATTCCAAGGTTAATCACAGGCAGCCTAAACAACATATCGATCTGAGCTGTCTTGATCTTATGACCACTAGGAACGACATACATATCAAGGTATGTTCACGTTTTTTTAAAATTTTTTTTAATTTTTAATTTACGATTTTTATCAGTTCATGCATGTACTACAATCATATGCGTTTTATGTCATTTTTTTATTAACTTCTTGTTGCTTAACCAATATATCCCTAAAGTCTAACCAACTAGACTTTTTTAAAGCTTCAAACTTTATATTTTTCATTTTTCCCGCCATAACATTATCTTATTCCCGCCTTTTTGACAACCTTTCTTCATTTTCCCGCTCTTTTTCAAAATTGAAGTAGCTCAGCCAATCGCGAGCCGGTATTTCCTTGACGTCACACGGACTCCTTCCTCATTTTGAAGAAGAAACTCGAAGAAACAACAACAACTAGACGCAAAACAAGAGTGTTTGCAGCTTTTCTTCATCTTTTGACTGTTTTTCCTTCAAGGTAAGACTGACTAGTTATGAATAAAATAAGAATGAACTATCATATATATTATTTAATTCAAATTTTTAAGTTAAATTTGGATTTCAATCAATCTTTTGCACTACGTAAAATTCTTCAAGTTTTAAATTATAACTTTCATTTGAATTTTGTTCAGTTGTTTCTAAGAGTAAAAAATTGAGCAACAAAATGTTTTATTCGTTACCGTTTAGTTATTTACTGATTATAGCCGGTTTATTTTACAAAAACATACGCTTTTTAACCTGAACTTGTTGTTATTTGAAATATGCTTATCTATTGACTTTACCGCTGTAAAGAAGTACTCTAAGCTTATTCAATTTTTCTAATTACTTAGTTGTATGCCTTAAATAAGCTTATTGAATCGACAGCTTTTAAATGAATAACGATTTTTGTTTTTTGTTTTTTTCTTTTTCCTTTTTTACATTTTTGTATATCCGTCGCATAGGGATGGAAACTTCAGTTTAGAGAATGGAGGTGGATTATCAAAAACCTTCCGAGTACGAATTGAAGAGACAAAAAAGAATAAAAGAAAACCATGAGTTTATGAAAAGTCTTGGTGAGTTGATTGAAAGAGTTATTGTTAGGGATGAGGGCAAAACAATTGTCATCTCAAGAGACCCGATTTAGGGGGGAGGGGTGGTGTTACCCGGTACCCACCACCTCTGGAAGTGAAATCTTAGATTTTGTCCCCAAATATCTCCAAAACTAAAAGCCAAATCACAGAAATGAATGTACTGTCTTTCTGCATGTATACTAAAAACATATTTGAGTATAGAAATTGCCACTACAGACCCCCAGTATCGAGCATTTGAACAGGTCTCTGAGGGGGAAGGGGGTATGTACCGGTACCCACCACCTGCATAAAATCTGGTCCTTATTTTGAACCATTGTTTTGACCTCGCCCCTTACTTCCTTCTTGTTTAGTTTTGCGTTGGCTAAGTTGCTTTTATAATTCCGCTCTCGAAAAGCATTCTGGTAGTAGTGATATCTTGAAGTAAAAAGTCAAAATTTCATTATAGCGAGGACCGCGGACCACCCTAAAAAGTGGGGAGGGGGGGGGGGGGCTGAAATTGGGAAATATAAGAGACTATAGTATGGGAAAAGGTAAAGAAGCACTCCCCCCCGGTATAGCGATCCTTTTCTAGCTAATGATAAAAAAGTGGTCGACAATAACGATTTGTAACTAGCCCTTTATATAATTTAAGGCTTACCAGTTCCAAAAACGCCCAGGCTACAACGGCTACCAAGGCCAACAACAACCAAAGGCAAAAAGCGAAAAGTCTTTACCTCCTTAGATGAAAGTGAAAGTAGCGAAAGCAGCGACGATAGTGACGAGGATTGGATTCCAGGCGTCTCAGAAGAGATAGCAAAAAGAAACAAGATGATCAAAAGATTCATACCAGGTGAAATCTAACTATGACTGGAATTTGTATGCTAATTTTAATAAGTATTAGTTAATTTTATTCAATAATTAATTTTTTAAATTAATTAAAATAAATAAATTAATATTAGGTAAAACTTCTTATGGCCCACCAGGCATTTCGTTCAGCCTCATTAGCGTCCAATTCGAGGAGCGCTTTATGAAGATACTATAGAGCTGTTAAAAGTAACGTATTCGAACGAGAAACGACTTCCGGGTCCTTCCGGGTCCAAATTAATAATTACATCTACAGACATGTTAACGCTTCTGCCGTTTTTCCTTCATAGCAGGAATTTCTGTTCATATATCTAATTGTTGAAGGTGGAAAATTAATCCTGGGAATAAGCTGTGGCAAGATTTAAGCGAACTTTTGTGTGATTGGACCCGGAAGTACGTCACAACTTAAAAGCTAGCCCTTATTCCGAGTGCAACAAAGGATGACGTATCACCCTGTATTTATGCAAAGCCGTACCAGTGACGCTCCTTTGGTAGGCCGGAGATTAAATCGCAGGCCACTAGAAATAATCCAGGCTAGATCGAACGTGACGCGTTACACTCCGCGCCTCCTTCCAGATTTGGGACCCTCTCTCCAACACAGAAATCTTTTCCTTTAGCTTTGGATTTTTTTCGTAATCTCAAAGTAAGACTTGTAATGCATGACCGGTTTGTGGTGCAAAGAAAAATTCGGTTGAAATTGTGGTGTGTGAGGTTGTGGATCCTTTTCTTTATTCTCCTTCCAAAGTTCTCCTCACGATCACCTACCCCCCGTGGGCCCGGGCATCCGTTAATTTGTCTACAGCTATTTCAAACAAGTAGCATATTGCATATGGCATATCGCATATTGCATGTTGCATGCTGCTCGGAACGGCTGATAAATGAATAAATTTAAGAAAATCATTTTGTTACAGAGTTTCGGCCGAAAAGAAACCTGCTCTTCGAATTTAATGAAAAGTGTTCAACAAAGGTAAAAGCCTATAATACACTCAACTTGATTAAATGTACATTTGATTAAATGTACATTTTCACAGCTTTTTTGTTGATTTAGGTTGGTGTATTCTCGATCCATTAGCTTTCTAGTTTGAATAAAACATTGATATCTGAAACTTTATATTTGACAGGCTAGTCGATCAAGAAATAACCAAAGTACTGACGACTTTGAAGATCTCGCCGAGATCTCCGATCAGATGCTCAATGACGCTTCATTGTTTAGTGAGGAAGAATCAGATAAGAAAGAGAAGCCCCACAATGAACCAGAGAGTAGATATCCCAAGAGAGCAAGATCAATGACAGCAAGCTATCGAGAAGCTGAAGTACCAGATGACGATCATTACTTATGTAAGCCAAAACAATATTAATCTTTTCCCCTAATTAGTTATGGAAATAATTAATCGCCATATCCAAGTTGATTTTTTTAAAAACGATTGAAAAAAGCCAGCTCAGCTGATGACGATCTCGCCATAGAAGGAAAAAAATTAAGGGCAAGTTTTTCTGTGCCAAGGTTCTTGTTGGGTACCATGGGTGGCGTGCCATAGGCTCTTTTGCTGTAGCATTTCTTCAACTGGTGCACAGGTGCATGGTATAACGAAGCCTACGACCGATGAACACTTGGGCGATAGAGACTTTGACATTTTAAGTGTCGTCATTGTTGCTATTGTTCGTTTGTGGTATTTTTTATTTAATTTTTTGTTATTTGAATAGTGAATATTATTATTTTGTTTTTCTTTGACACTTTTTATTTGATTTCTCTCTTTCTTTCTTTGTGACAGACTGCGAAGAGTGCCAAGATCTCTACTTCGGAGACTGTCCCAATCACGGTCCTCTAAAGGCTATCTCAGATAATGGCTTCAAGCTTCAGAAAAATGACCATAATACTTTACCAGCTGCAAGAGCATCTTTACCAGATTTTTTGGAGATAAAGCCGTCGACAATACCAGACGCAGGCCTAGGGGTGTTCCTTAAATCTGGCGTTATTCCAAACAGGTCAAGATTTGGTCCATATCGAGGAACAAAAGTGAAACTAGAAGACATGGCTGATGAAACGGACACGAGTTATATGTGGGAGGTAAAATACTGAATTAGAAATGTGCCATCTGACGGTTACAGCTTCGTGTACTCGACTAACCATGACGTTACCGTCAAACCAGGACGTCAGTGTTTAGAAATTTAAACAAATGATCCTTCGTTTTGAATAACTTGAGTCATTTAAAATCCATCCATCCATTCATTCATCCATCCATCCGTCCCTCCATCTATCCATCCATCCTTCCCTCCGTCCTGTGTAATTACAGCGAGGAATATTACATATCTTCAAAAGTCAGAGCACGGCTAACTCACAGATCAAACCCTGAAACAACCTCTGGGCTAATCTAGTCAGCGCACGGCTATGTTTAAGTTTTTATACCTTATCTTCGATGTTATCGACTTGTTGACTGCGTTTATTGCCAATCAGGAAGAAGTATTGACACTTCGTATTCTTCTAGATTATCAGTTTTTGAGTGTACCCATGGTTATATAGCAACATGTGAAAATAGCTGTCGAGTTGAAGAAATCTTTTGAACTCGGCTTTACCGGTAACTTTGATGCAAAATTTGTTTTGCAGATTATGAGAGATGGAAAATTCAGTCACTTTGTGGACGGCGCTGACGAAGCAAACGCCAACTGGATGAGATTTGTAAATTGCTCCCGATGTGAAACAGAGCAAAGCCTAGTCTCTTATCAATATAAAGGCGATATATTCTACCGCAGTTACAAACAGATAACAGAGGGAACAGAACTCCTGGTGTGGTATGGGGATAAGTACGCA